AGTTTAAGTCTAATAAAACTTTAAGAAGAAGATGGTCTCCGAGCTAAAATCTTCAAAAGGTGCTTGCCACCATCCTTCGTAACATATTTACAGAGACCATATCCATTGAGAGCGAATGCCATGTGGTTGGAATAAAGCAATTATGCTCCCATTTCTCAAGAAAGATGAAAAAACTATAGAAGAATCAGCTTGTTAGATATTTTTATGGAAAGATTTTTCCGCTGAATAGACTGAATAGATATGGCAATGCACGATAGCAGAATGCGTTTTAATTAAGCGACACTTAAGTTAAGATGTAGCTATGATGACCGATTTTAAGGCTGAGAAGGGCATTATTTAAAGTACGATAACCTACTGTTATATGTTTCGCCAATTTCTGCCATTGATTCAACGGAGTGGCGTTCTAACAAATTTAATCAGTTTTATCAAACATTTTATTAGCTCATATCAGTTGTGTATGTGTGGGAATAGACGGAAAATTTCTGAAATAGTTTTATGTACCAAAGTCGCATTTTTTCATCTAAAATTTTCAACAATGCGATAGACTTGGTAATGAGCATCACAGAAACTCAGGAGGTATATAAATTAGGAGGTATATAAATTAGAACAGATCATGAATACGCCGGTGAAGTGGTCCTTTTCGTGATTGTTACGCGGAAAAGCAATAGGTGCTAGATTGGTTATCGACACAGCAGCGAAAAATTACTTCCAAATCAATGTGAATAAAAAACGATATTCTTTTCGTCTCATATATTTTACACGCTGATAAGGCAATTTATACAAAATCACCAATCAATCAAGAATCAGTCAAGTAGTGCCAGAGTTTAACATCACTTATATTTTTACACTTTTACATCTAATTGCCAAGTGATAGCTGAAATTCTAGCTCAGATAGCAGCAGACAGCAAAAAGAACTATTGGCGAAGATCCTTTGGAATTACAATGAAATCAGTCTAAGAGAAATTTTGTATTTGCCTGGCTATATACAAAATCCTATTATATGACAGCAAAACTTGGTTAATAAGAGCAGAAAATGCCAAAGAGCTTTGTCTGAGGTATTTCTTTCGTACCAGCCAAAGTGATAGAGTTTCAAGCAGTCGTCTATTTTTGCTCGAATAACAACTGCATTAATAATATAGCCACTGGTTTATCCTCGTTCTTCTTGCCTACTACAAGAATTAACGTATATTTTGCTACTATCTAAGCTCTGACGCGTGGCGTCGAAAGCATGGAGGATCAATCAATACCTGGATTGATTTGGTCAAAGGTGTTTTGGATATATAGGCAATCCAGAGGTGCACGGATTTAGACTGTCGAAAAAGGAGCGATTTCATTTATTTTCAAGCATGGTTTGGAGCTGGGCATGGAAACATCTTACTCTAATCGCCAAAATAACGAGCTATTAAAGAAAGAGGATGATATCTGAACATATTCACCATTTAAATCAACAGAATTGTTAGAAATTTGAGGTACATAAAAGAATAAAATTTTTTTTCATTTAATCTTCTTCTAGCTCTCACAATTTCTGGTAGAGCTGGCTCCACTAGCTACAAGGGTAGGATGTTTCCAAGCTGTTCGATATGTTATCACGCTGAGAATTTTTTTAAGAACCCTCACCATTACTGGTTGGACTCGCTCCGCTGGCTGGTCGCACTGGAAAAATATGACAGGGAATCTCTTGGCGATAAAATTACAGTTGAATCGCCAGCTTAGCTTGATTTTTGGGCAGGTTTATTTCTGCGGGAAATACAACCTCAGCATCGGTGTTCCGAATTGACCAATAACTCATTGAACCACTAGACAGTAACCACTAATGTCTTATCGCTGACAACAGTAAAAGCCATTCTTTTTCCGTCGTCTAAATCCATATATCTCTAATCTATCTATAAATCCATATATTCCCTATATGTGAAAACTTTCGTGACTGTATCAGTCCAGATCTTAATTGGCCTACTTAATTGACCCAATTGGTCCTCGCTTTTGTTGCCAATTATCACAGAGTTTAACCAATAATGAAATATGCCAATTCCTTTGGTGGGCAATGAAGAACCAGCGAAGAGGACATTGTGTGATGTACTGTTAATGTAAGTATCATTTGAAGATGGATGTGATAATATGAGATTTTATCTGCTGGACCCGTAAAATATATCTTAGAAATGAGCGGTCAAAGGCAGATAGCTTCTTAATATCCTCCACTCTCATTGATCCTGTCTGGCAGCCATATAGCACGATTGAGTGAATTGCAGGCGCAGGTGCAGAATTTTATGGTGATTTCGCGACGGCCCCATAAAGGTTTCAACCGGAAGAACATTTCTAGCAATCATTATAGGGGTGGTAATTTCGTCTTTCGCTTGGTGATTTGGAATAGGAAGTGTTGCTGATATTTGAAGCGATGTTTCCAACACTCTCATTTGAAGATTTGGTGAGCACAATCGCATCTAGGTCTGAATCTAGCTTGGTTAGGTTGCATCCTGTTGTCTCGTATTGCCGTAAGCCGCCTATTCGATAGAAAGAAGTAAAAATTCTTCTGAATATATCTATAGGCTGAATTCATCTATTATTATTTCAACTTATAAATAATAATTTCAACTTAAATTAAAACAATTTAGAGATTTTCGTTCCAGAGATATCTCATTGAAAAGGTGGATGCAAGAAGCTTTTGACAATAATAAAAACAGTTATCACTTATTTCAAGCGATAATATTTCCGACATTGTCCAAAAGCCTAATTAGATAAACTACTTCTCTAGCCTGATAAACTGAAAAATCGAACAATGCGTGTTCTAAACTTTCAAGGTATCAAAGCTATAATTAAATATAGCGCAAAATTCTATTTTTCTAAATTTGTGAAACTGCGAAGGCTGCGATTTTCTCTGGTGCAGTCTCAAAGGTAAATGGTTAGAATCAGGCGCAGTTGGTCGTTGATGCGTGGGTGACCTGGATTCAGAACAAAGAATTCAAAATTCACAAAATTTCTCGCCTGTTCGTTTGTCAAATTACTTCGCTTCCTCAACCAAGATTTTCTAATTTTTAAATTTTTCTTTGAATTTTTAAATTTAATTTGATTTTAAAGTTATCCAAAAGTTCACAATGGACTTCCCAATTTAATTTAATTTCTAAATGTACTTATCCAGAAGCATTCCAACAAAATAATTTGAAACCTTAATTTGTATATACTTTTATACTTATATATTATACTTTTTATTATACTATATTGTACTGTATATTATTGTATATTATACTTTTTACCTCTGAAGTTTTTTTATGGATTCTTGGAAATTTTCTTTTGTATGGAAAAACCATAATTTTGATACTCCTTAATTTTGATACTTATACAAATCTTAATATCAAATTTTTATTGATTATAGAAAGAAAAGAGAAGGAGGAAGAAGGTGCATTGAAGAGCTATGGGAAATAGCCTATAAACAATTTGTAAAATAATTTTTTGCAACTATCAGATGTGTTTTACTGCTAAATGAGCCTATTTCTTTTTTAAATTTTTTATAAATAATAGATGCCATTTGAAGAATCCATGAATAGAAAATCTTTAAATTCGCAGATTCATAGAAAATTCACAAGCGTGGAGCGATTTTGTGTCTTCTTTCATTCAACACTTAGGATTATTATTGTCTTTATAGCCTGGTATCGAAAGGAATCCTAGCTTAGTGTATTGTAAATGCTTCTCTGTCGCACCTAAATATCGTTCGGATAATGAAACTTGGTATCTATAACTTGTACGGTATAATTCAGCGGTATGCGAAAATATTACATAATCAATTACTAGTTATTGGCTTATTAATATTTTTCATGTTTATTTCCACACGAAAAATGGGGAAAGTCATCTATACTGAAAAGTAATTGATTTATAGCTATGCCATCTATGCAATAAATTGCTCCCAATTTCTCTAAGACAAAAGATTAGGCATTAATATAATGAGTATTTAAAATCTCTGAGACTTTGTGAGGAAATTTCTTTTAAATGTCCATAGAAATGAATGTGAAATAAGGCGAAATAAAGCGGAAACAACTGAAAACGAACTCGAATTCAAACAGATTATTGTGATTACACCAACCTATAGAAGAGCGACAAGATTGGCGGATTTAACGAGGTAATACGGAAATCTCATTAATTTATTTATTTAATTGAATTATATATTTACTTCATTTATGCAGTGAAATCAAGCAAAGCCGACGCTATGTTCTGACATAACTATTCTGAAGAAAGAACGACAGAAATTATTTCATATAAAAATAGAAATTATAAAAAAAGGAAAAATTTAATAATAATAAATGTTTGTGTAAAAATATAGATATGTAAAAATACAGATTGATATGAAATTAAATTTTCACTATAAATAAACCTATAATTGACCAGACGACCTGCCTTCTGAAATTGTTCACTGAGAATACTTACCACGCTATTAATAAAGGAGAAAGCGAATTAAGAATTGTGATTTTTCAATTGGGTCTTATATTGAGGCTCTAAATGAATTTTATTTCACAATAATAAATAGGATGTGAATGTTCATATATTCAACTTAAAGCATCTCTACAGCACTATTCAATGGAATTTTTGAACCAGTGGGAATAACATATGGTATTATATTCCAGAATGGATCTGATGAATTTATTTTTGATAGCAATAAGAAATTTCTTCTATTTCGAATTCTAAATTTCTGTTTCGAAATGATCTAAGATTCAACAATTTAAATAAATATAGAGATCAAAATCTGAATTTTCGCCAACATAGATTCCATTTAAAGACCAGATTAATTTATTAGGGTATTAGAAGGAAAATCCTCACGAATTATTATGAATTTGAAGGGTAAGATGGCTGTTGGCTCTTTTGGTCATCCTGCACTAAATTATTAGATGAACCTTTTCAAATTGTACAATTCTAAATTTTTTTTAAATGTTTGCCTTTATAATAGGATATTTTATGTTTATTTGGAATATTGCATTTTCTTAACTGCATTATGATGTTTTTCAAATATTTACAGAATGGCAAATACACTGATGCATATAAGTCAGCTTCACTGGATTGTAGTCGAGGATAATAATTCGAAAATAAAAGCAGTGGAGAAACTGCTGAATAGAACTGGCTTACCACACACTTATATATGTGCGAAAACAATTCCTGGTTATCCAAGTAAGCTTCATTAAAAATAAATTGAAAAAGGTTAAGAGTTAAGAAATTAAATAGAAATAATGCTATTTAATTAATTAACCAATAACTTTTGAAATTTATATTAAATTATTACTGCAAGAGAACTATAAGAAAGCATATGCTCGATTTCGCCAAAGTATAGATATTTATATAATTTACAGTGAATAATTATTCTTGAAAGTTTGTTCCGAAATCCGTTTCTTTAGAGTTATCTTTCTCTAAATTTTCACTAATTTTTTTAAAAATTAGCCGAAATTTTATAATAGTACAAATAGTACAATAATAATGCATAAAAAGAGGTTAGTTGGCCCATGTTAATTATAGCATCCACTGGTAAATAATTTTAACCATCCACTGGTAAATAATTTTGTTTCATCCATGCAAATATTAATAATTAATAATATTTCAATTTTAATTCGATTAAATTTAAAATAATTTAGAAAACCTATTTTTCCATTCGATTTTTTCGGTCTTATCACTTACGATCACTTACTAGCTGGACTTTACAGGCAGAGGATGGTACCAACGTTCCAGGGCTTTGGAATATTTACGTAAAAATACAGATCAGATAACATTAAATAAATCTAATTCTGTCGTTTATTTTGGCGACGATGATAATTCGTACGATATTCGTCTATTTCGCGATTATATTAGGCGCGTTAGAAAAGTAGGCATCTGGGCAGTTGGTAAGGTTGTCAATCTTTTATGAAAGAAATAACCTTAAGAATGTTGAAAAAAAATTCACAAAAAAAAATCTAGCACTAGCGGGTAATACGGCTATTGAAATGCCTGATGTTCACCAAGGAACTGTTGTGGGGTGGAAAGTTCTGTGGAATAAAAAGCGCAAATTTGCAACGGATATGGCTGGTTTTGCTATTGCACTCAATATTATACTAAAGTTTGTCTTTCGATTGTACTCACCATGCTAAATTTTAAATAAATATAGCATTTTCGTAAATGTAAGCTAGAAAAAATTATACAAAAAAACTATATTAAAGAATTTTGATTTCTTTCGCGATAAGCTTGTAAACTCTAAGCTTGATTATTCAGGTCGACAGCCACATTCGGTACATCCTGCGATCAAGGACTTGGTGCCCCAGAAACTTGTTTCTTAGAGGATCTCGGGCTGGGAATTACTGACCTCGAGCCATTTGGTTTTGATCAAGTAAGTCTATTTAATGATTTTAAAAACAAAAATAATATAGTAATAAAAATAAACAAAAAGAAGTCTTTGCCGATATTTTTCCAAAAAACAAAGATAATTTTTCAGATAAAATAATTCGCAATAATTCGTTCATATTATTTTGATTTAGACTACAAATCATACGAATATTTTATCGTAAATTTTTTAAACAGGTTTGTAAAGGAATATATTTTAGGACGACAAAGAAGTATTCGTGTGGCACACGAAAACGGTTCCCGTAAAATATAACAAAAGAATAATTGATAGCGGTGGATTTTTCATTGAATAATTTTTTGTAAATAAATCGTCAAGAGTGAAAGAATTCAGATGGAACCTAATTAGTTTAGTTTATGATAAATCCAGTTGTTTTTTCTTCTAAAGCGTTTTTCTGGTTTTAATGATTCAATGAATACTGGAGTTAAAAAAGCCTTTCGATTTTGGGGCAGAAGTGCTATCCCTAGAAGCATCCTGATCTTTTAATGACAAGTCCACTCTTATCAAAGAATTCTAAGTTTAATTTTCTAAAGTAGATCTACTCGACTTTGTCCTTTATATTGACAAATTTTAACATTAGGATAATTGAAATTTAATCGTTAGTGACTAGATATGTGATTTTTTGCAAATGGTAAAGGTTAATGGCATAAATGGTAATTGCAAATTTTCTCTAAAAAATTTCTAAGATTGATCATAAATTTTGGAAATTTCCTAATTAGTGCAATAATTGAACATGGTAAATCAGTTCCTATGTTTCAAAGTTTCTAAATTTTATCGCTTTATATGAAATTAAAAAGTAACATAAAAAGAAAAATAGATAAAATAGATATATAGATAAATAGGTATATAGCATATTACAAAAGTACGCAAAATATTGCAAAATGATGTTTTTTTTTACTTGGTTATTGCATTTTTCATTTCATTATCGTCAAGCTGCAGTGTAATAATGATATTTAAGCATGAAACTATGCATGAAATAAAATATGAAAAATTTAAATAATCAAATTTGTTGAAACAAAAAAGTTAATTTTTCATTATAAATATAAAATTCGTTGGTTTTTCTGATCGTTACAATTCTTTTTATGATGGTTTTATGATCGTTACAATTCTTTAATTTCTGGATATAAACTATACTGGAAAAACAGTTAATTGAAATGTTCTTTTTTATGTGATTTGCAAATGCTATAACTAAACTCATAAAAATCCTCCTTTTTTGCGTCTTGATTAAGAAATTTTGAAAGTAATGTAGTCTTTTATAATCAATTTTTTTTTGAAGAATAAGTATTTTTCTGAAGAACATATAATTGAAAATTAACAAAAAAAAATGCATTAAAAACTTATGAAACTTAAGAAAATAGATATGCCAAGCATCTTAACAGAATTATTGCTATTATTATTTGGGAAAAAATTATGCGACAATTATTGCTGAGATCAGCAGGAATGATACCTAAAATATAAAGAAGATAATGAATTCTCCAAAAAAAAGCTAGTAAATAACGGTTTATAAGATCGAAATGTTCATTTACATGTATGGACAAGCACTTTTTCAGTGCATGTCTTGCATTTCACCGAGCAACACCAAACAAATTTGCAATGACACTGAGATATACGTGATTCTTCTTTCGTATTGTAACCTCGTCCACAACAGAGTAAATCACAACTATCTGAGTTCAATGATGACTGATTACACTCTCGGCCTTTTGTGCCCAAAATGCCTTTAAATTATGGACTTAATATTTAAAATTGTTAATCAAGCTAAGATTTGCAGCAAAAAACTTTAGCGACTATGTTGCAAAACGACTTCACTTTTCACTTAATAATTTTCATCCTACTTGTTATTCACCATTTTACCAACTTATTTTTCTTTTTTTACCACATTCTGCATTCTCAGGTTTTCAGATTTTTTTTTCCCTTTCAGGTTTACAAGATTTCTTTTTGGTGTATTTTCAAGATTTACCTTATATAATAAAATATTATATGGTTTTATATAATTAATTTACCTTCCGAATCGTCTCTTTCACAATAATTCGGTGATTTATGGATGTATGCAATTTCATTGCCCCTTAATGGTTTCTTTCTTTCTGAACGTTCTTTTCTACGTAATCTTTTCTTTGCCCTTTTGGCAACCTAAAAAAATTTTTCGGATCTTAAAAGTAAAATTAAATTTCAAAAGAATTGTGGCTGGTGTATATTTTTCCTATATTTTTAGCAGCTGACAAAATTTAAAAAGAAGTCCAGTTACTGAAATTTTTCTGAAATGAAGGAATATTTTTTCACACAAAGCGGTAGTATGCTATTTTTATTTAACCCATTTAGACACGAAACAAATTGGTTCGATGGTTCACGTAATACTATACTTGCACAGCAAAATGATTGTAACGTTGTTTGAGCATTTCTCCAATTTCATTAAATTTTGGCATTTGAAGCCAACATGTTTTAAATTCACATGATCCGCTAACACCGTGACATCGACACTGTTTTCGCATATTTTGAACAATTGCCTAGTGAATGCATTTCGTTAAGAAAATCAAAATGGATCGATTTATTTGGAAAATTATCAAATTTGCAACCAATCTTTATTCATTAAATTCATGAATGAATTTCTGATAAAAATTTAATTTTAAAATTTTTTAACTCGAGTAGAATCTCTGATGGGCAAAAATTTTATTACGATAAATAGCGATAGGCTTGATTATATTAGCGAATTTCATTTGGTTTATTTGCGCGTTACGAATTATGGATTATAGATTTATAAATTTATGGCCGATTTTTTATTTGCTAGTTAACCGATATAATGAAGTGAATAACTTCAGCATTTGGCTTAAAATGGCTTAAAAATTTTTTCAGAAGCAGCTTTAATATACGGTAGGCCGAAAATATATTAGGTAAGATAATAAATAAAGAGAATAAGAACAATTATACCTCTCTACCGACGAAATTATTATGCAGATTCATTAAATGGCGTATATCTTTGTCTTTTTCGTATTGATCTCTCTCATATCGGTCCAAGAACTGTTTCGCAAAATGAACACCATATTTCGAATTATCTGAGCATCCACCCCAAGAGAATTTTTCACGTCCAATAAATAGAGATTGATCCTTCAATTTCGAAATTATTTTCTTGGTGCAACAGATGATATAAATATTTGATTATGATTAGGTCATAAATTTTCGTAAAAAATATGTGTAAAGCGACTTAATCCCACATATGCACAATAAATGAAACGAGTTCTATGGTAGAACATATGTTTCTCAATATTTAAGAAAATGATAAATAGCTTTTCAAAACATCTTAAATCTTTAGTTTCACAACAAATTGATAAGGAATAATTCGATTAAGATAAAAAGTTTTTAGCTTAACTGAGCACCATGGGGAGAGAACACTGATGAAGAAATTTGAGAAAAGAGATGCAGGTGAATTCTTAGCGATATTCCAAGTTTAAATAATGCATTTAAAGCTAAATTAAATCAGAATAATAAAAGAATTGTTGCATCTATGGGGAACGAATCAAAATGTGATAAATTGATTATAATGCGATTTATTAAAGCACCATTGTTGAAGAAGATATTCTGTGAGTAACATTGCAAACGTACAATTTAAAAACGGCAAAGGGATTTAGCTAACCAAGTCAGTATATCGTTGTACTCCAGGTTGATTGTCGCAGCCACATTCAGTCAAATTCCCTGTACTACAACCTTTGGTAACTGCATGGACAATACCTGCACTTGTTATAGCTGATAAAAATGCTGTTTCTCGATTCCCTTAAATGACTCTTTTGACTGAAATTGTTCAATTTTTTTAAAATAACACTCACCATTTCTGATTCGCTCTGCTGGCTAGTCGGATTAGATATTTATGTCAGAGAACCTTTGGAGATAAAAGTACAGATGAATCACCAGCGTCCCCCTAATTTTTAGATAGATTTACTCTTGCCAGAAGTAGAATTTTTGCATCACCGCTCCGAATTGAAGAACAATCCATTGAGCCATTTTATTCACCTTCGTTAGCGACATTGCCGTTCGACGAAAAGCGACATTGGTGCTCCATCAGATTCGAACTCATGCCTCGATTCTCTGTGGCATTTGCCGCAGACGCACCGAGTATGGTCAATTTTCTCGAAATCGATTGTGATACAGCATTGATATTCTTATTAGGCATTTATTTTCAGACATTTCAAGTTCTTATATAATATGGTAATAAATGAGAGTTAAATAAAGATTGACTATCTGAATTCAAATGTTTCAAATGTCTCAAATGTTTTAAGAATTTTTTGCAAAACGAGATCGTCGTTTATTATCATGTTGACAGCAACGGTTACCTGCTCTCATCGTACGACCAAGAAGGTCCTGAAATCCTGTGGCAGAGCTATTAGGATTTCTATTGATCCTTTCTGAGCAATTCCATCTATAAAAAAATTTCTATTGCAATACATTTATCGCTAAAAACTCATCTATCAATATTTACTAATTTAAGGCTTACCTTTCATATTTAAATTGTGTTTGGCATTCAATGACTGAATCTCGAGCCCCACGGCCTACTGAGGGCATCGCAAAAGGATGCTAAACAAATAACAAGCATTAAATAGAAACTCCATAGAAAGAAATTTTGATATCAAAAAATTGTCGTCTCGAACCTAGGCGGAAGAGATGGAAATTTTATTATCACTAATGGGTGGGTGACATTACAAGTTCTACAATGGTTTTAACGATAAATTTTTTTAATATATAGCACAAAAGAAATTAAAGCAATTGCGATTAAGATGAATATCGAAACTTGCAGTCCAAGATTATAAATAAATTTATATAAAAGATTATAAATATACAAAATGAGCAGCCTAAAGAAAGCTACATCACTATACTCACTATCACTTATCATATTTATCGACCATTGCATAAAAATTATTTTTATCAATTTTCTTCAGGCTAAACGTTGCCTATCACGAAAATTCTATATTTCTATAATCCTAATAAAATATTTTCTTTAAAGAATTATGAAGGAGAAGCAGAACTAAAAAGAATTTCAGGAATTTCCTTCGTACCTGATGACAAATAGTGATCTGAATCGGATTCAAACCAGGTAGTCGTTCACAAAGCATCTTATATTGTTGATGATTCGAGGACCCATAGTAAGAAGGTGAATAATATGATGTTGAAGAAAGTGCGAGTGATCTGAAAATTCACTGGAATAAAATCATAAAAAATGAGCAAATTTTATCCATACAAGTTAAACTAGGCTTTAATTTCGGAGTTTTCGGAGATTATATGTTACATGGACATCTGGAAACATTTCTTGAATCGTTGTATATTTCACGCCTTTTCTTTAGAATAATGTATAAAAATGGTAAGTGATATAATTTATAAGCCTCATTAAACTCGCTCCACTGGCTTATCGAATATCGAATCAGATAAATTTTGCTAGGAACTCGCTTGGCAATAAAAATACACGCCAGCAAATCTCAGATTTTTGGAAGATAGGTTAGTTTTATTAGCTTACTTTTGATGGATGTAGGAGTCCAATACACATTTCCTATATCTTTTCAACTAATTACGCAAGAAATAAAGAATAACTTACAACCAATTATAAAAGTGTGCTTGCACGATTTCAGCAATAAAGAGCAATGTGATAATTGGGATATTTATTCGTATATACATCGTATCATCCCAGATATATTGGAAAGTTGATAAGGTTAATAAAAATCCTAAGTAAAGCAAAAATTATCGCTATCAAGTTTTGTATAATTTAAAGTGAAGAAGATGAAGTATATGGGGGGGGGGGGGGAAAGTTTTATCAAATTAAATAATCTATAAAATTCAATGATTTATAAAGTTATTTACAAGACGACGACTGAAATACCTTTTTCCAGTCGTTTCCTCATGTTAGAATAAAATTTTAGGAAAAGCGACCTTACTATTTCAATGTGAAATTTCCTAAGGTCCGTTAAAATATTTGGAGATTTAAATAAATAAATAAATTTAATCCTATAGAAAGAATAAAATTATTTTTAATACTAACAATACGGCTCATTTACGTTCATTGCCTCCTCAATTACGACTTTGCATTTATTTTTGCTACAATAATCTTTCCTCACGAAATACTGTAAAATATTTTCTCATAAGGATTGCATTCGCAAAAAAATTTTAAAATTCGTAGCACTGTTTTATAAATCTGTTTTCATGAATAATGCTTATAATATAAAAATTATGTAGAATAAAAATTATAAACCATTCAGAAGAGCAACTTTCCAAATTTTTTTTTGCATTCAAGAGCAAACATGGCATGGAAGAAATCAAAACCAGTTTTATTCATTTCGTTCTGCTACAGTAATCTCTTGACGTACCTCCGCCCTGAACTTCAGTTCCGCATTCCGACAAAGTTATCGATAAAATTAAAATCTCCTCAAGAGATTTTTGCAATAAAAAAAATTTATCGAACTTCGTAGAATGAATTTTAATGGAAAATTGCTGCATAATTTAGTATTTTTTAAAATCATTTTTAACATATTGCAGCATATTCATGACAAACTGCACATTAAAATGCTATGTCAAAGTTGGATTTTTGCTGGTTATAGAAAATGCAGGCTTTCACCGCACCATTGGAACATAAGCCATTACTCTGCGATTAATAGAAATGAACGTTCTTCGTGAAGCTCCCTTTAATTAACGAAGCTAATGCAGTTAATGTCTCCCCGAAATGCCTAGTGGGTGAATAGATGAAAACCTGACAAACATTTTGCCCTGCAAAAATTGGAGATTTTTTTATTACGCAACCTAGTTTAAAAATTGACACCAATGAAACCAAAATATTCGATTACTATTCGATTTCTTACTTTTTCAAACTGAATTAATTAAAATATTGAATTAGCAATAATAATTAAGAAAACAAGACAAAAATAAAAATATTTAGTGCTAAATATCCATGAATGCGGAAGCTACAATAAAGTGGCGAATGAAACCATTAATAGTGGTGCTTTTTTAAAACTGGAGATTCACTTAAGCTTTATTTTTTTAAAAACGAAAATGAATAATATAAAAGAAAATATATAAAAAGATCAGAGGGTCACAATAAAAAGAAAAGTATAACCAAAAAGATATAACGCAAATTTTCAGCAGAAAAGAAGCAAGTAAAAATTCAAAGCTTAAAGTGTTAAAAGCATAAAAGCGTGGTACCAATGAGTATTGAAAATTATATCGCAGAAAAAGGAATAACAAATAGACGACGTTTTCATTGAATTTGTTCATCTATCAATCGCCTTCCGGCCCTAAAACTATTTCTCGAATCTCCCATTTTCTTATTGTTATATAAACATCCAGGTGCTCGTCATTCTATTCTATTACTTTTACGATCAGTCATAAAACTGCCTCATAAAACCACCAATAATAGTATTAAACGCTGACGCTATTATAGATGCTGTCTCTCATAATTTTTCTATTCTCTATTTTAGCGAATATCTACGTACTGAATATCATGTATATATGCATATATTACTATGCATTTCTTTTCATCAACCTTTAGTTATAAGAAACCGAATGAATTTATCAGAAGAAAATCACAACATAGGGGTTAGATGATCAAGATTGATCAAATGAAAGCTATTTTATGAGAAATAAAACGGTTGAATCTAACATATGGTATCGAAACAAATATATTAGCGATTCTCAGGAAATTCGAATTTCTTAGTGCTAAATAAATTTTTGCTATTCCACAGTAATTAGTTCGTGCAGAGGTCCTTGATTCAATAAGAGCCAATTTTCTGAAGTATACATATTTATCTTTCATAGGAAAATTAAAATATAGCATCTTTAATGCACCTTTAAATTATAATATTTAATCCCACAATAATTGCAAATTACAAAATGCATATTGAAAGGTATATGCATTACTTGACTTGCTTAATCTTTATGTCTCTATTCTGCAAAAAATCTACTAACCATCAACACTTAATCGAAAATAATTCGAAAAATTTCCACCAGTTGGAGTTATCAGAAATAAAACAAGACTGCCATCCTTAATCTTATACTCGTGACATCAAGATCCATGAAGAGATTCTAATTAGGAAAACAATGCAGAGGCACTGACTGATTAAAAATTCTAACAGCATTTACTACCATTTTCGCTAAATTTATTCCACAATTTTTGATTAAAATTAGTATGCAATTCGTTTCTTTTTTCTTAATAAGAAATTTTTTCTAGCATATCTATTACTATCAACATTGCTTTATTATAAGTCAATATCATAAACCTAGAATTCGCGAAAGTTAAGCTGTGCATAATAGATGCATCTTCGACACTGAACATTTTACTGGATTAGCTTGCCATTTGCATATTTTGCTGATGATACTTTGGCCTGAAAGGGATTTGAACTTCGTGAACTCTTGCTCATGGTAAATCCTCGTTCTGTCGCTACTCGATTTTTTATCATTTGATTTTGTTAATGCATATATAATTGCCTACCAGCATTGTTTAAAACAAATTATTTCCATATATTAAAATAATATGCAACGAAATTAGGAACTTTCATATCTGGTATCAGCAAAAAAAATTTTTTTGGCCCGTTTATTGTAGTTTCTAACATGCTTTTGAAATAATATAAAAGTTGATAAGCCACACTCGAGCAATGAGAGATAGCGCAATATTTTTGGCACTATGTTCTAGAAATGGAAGTCTACAAAAACGTTTGAGAAACCTCTGCATAAAAATAGGAAGTAATAATTTTACATGGTTTTTTTGCAGTATTTTTTTCAAAATTAAAATTAAAAGTATCTTATAATTTCATCATCAATTACTTCAATTTCATCATCAATTAGGCCATATTTGTCACTTTTGGTGACAATATTGCTTAATAGGCCAATATTAAAAATAGTTTCGACTTTTTATCAGTAAGCATATTTTATAGAAGCATCACTTTACCACCAAATGACTCGAATCATGTTAAAATTTGGCTCATTTTCATAGTTTTATTTCTATTCATGACGAAAAAAGCGATTGTTCATTTTCCACTAGGATAATCCAATGCTTTTCATAATACTAGGAAATGTAAAAAAAAAATTGCTTAAAGATTTTTGCACCCAGCAAATATAAGAATAACAGTGATATTAGATATGAAATTTTACTATTATTATTATTATCATTATTATTATTACTATTTATTATTATTATTATTACTATCATTATTATTATTATTTTTATTATTGTTATTATTATTACTTATATTGTTACCGCCGCTACAAATTGAGAAAGTAAGGGAGCAAAAATTTTTGCAGTTTCAAGAATTACCAAAGGGCCTATAAGACCTTTGCTATGCTTCTTTCGTTATCGTAGTGTACTTTAAAAAATAGGTAGAAATTGATATATTTTTCTAAAGAAATTTTTTTACAATTTTTGAAGCTTAATTATAAAAATCTTTGATTTTTTGCATCATTTTTGCTAAATTTCAAAATTATCCAATTTATAATAAATTTACGTGAATTTAAAACGGAATACAAGAAGGATTCGAATCTCTCTAAACTTCCGACATGCAGTATTAAACTAAGAGTTTTATGCCAAAGTTGTATCTAAAAAATCGAGAACATAGCAACACTGATTCGAAAGCCACTACACACTGGACTAACACAGTGCTTAATGCGATACCCCTTTCTGCACTTTTGCCAACCTATATCTTCCTTAGCTTTACACAACTCTATACCTTCCCTCCCTGTAGCATATAATAGTAAAATTGGAAAAAAAATGGAAAATTAGAAAAATGGAATCATTATGGAAAATTTTGGACCTATATTGAAGTCGATGAAGAATTAATGTTTGGAAGTTATAAATAGGATATTAACAGAACAAATTGACATTTCTAATAACGGCATAATTTAACAAGAGATAAATATATTTTGCCGATGTATTGCACTTTTTATTCTAATTTGAGCCGATTTTATAAATAAATAGCCAGAACAATAGGTGCCATTTATTCATGTTCTTTCTACTTTTTTACCTATATGCTTTGCCGATTTCCAGTTGAAAGTAATGAATCAACACTTTTTTGGTGGACCGTATCGAGGATGGTGATGGTAATCCTCGATAATCGGTTAAAATTAGTAAAATAGTAAATTATTTCTTGCTAAAATTAGTAAAATTGCTTATACTGCTATTAACGCCAATATATTCTGATGCTTTAAAGACGTGTTTTATTAACTAACTATACTATACAGTAGCGAATCAATTATAAGCATAAAAAATCTAATTAAATGAATAGCATAAAAAACAATGATTTCGTTTCCATAGAAAATCGAGAAAAAACTGACTGCGTTAGAGGGGAATCGAACCCCTTAATTTCTACATTCCAACTAATGAAAGAATTGTCTTCATACTTCTTCATCATAGAGTAACTCGATCAAAAGTAATGGTATAAAGTGGACACTTCGTGGAGTCATGGACGCCCTGCTTCGTAGGGTCAAGTGAAAATTGGTTGCAGGTTCTGTGGTCTCGACGTTAAGCTGGTCTGAGATATTCGATTGCAATATTCGATCCTTTCACAGCAGAAGGTGTACTGGAAATGTATGCTCTAAACGAGAAAAAAATTTATGTGGCACCTTATAAGGATGTTTCAGTAGCTTTGATAACACGTTGTGTTCGATAAAGATATGCAAACTTATACTGAGATCCAAAGAAATTTTAAGTGTTGTTTTACATGTTGTGATGGTCGAACTTATGAATAATTTCTTTAGGAAAGTGAAAATAGCCTGAAATCATTATTAGATTCACTGTGGAAGGTGGTAGCACACGTAATATGATACAAGCTCAGATATGGTAAGTTAAGGTTTGGCTTAAATGCTAAGTGAATGCGGAGAAAAACTAAACGAAGCGTTTTTCTCCATGAGACATTAGCTGTGGATGCTTTAACTTAGTGATGAGAAGCACCTCATTATCATTGTGATAAGCAGTGCAAAAAAATTCCAGTAAACCACCATAAACAGAAATTGTCCTACAATATTGAGATATTGGGATCAAGTCCGGTTTCTGAATCGTATGATGGTTTCGCGTGCCTTTGAAGTTTGGTATTCGATACAGAAGTGGGCCCATAATTTAATGTTTTTCTTTATAGATGGCCAGATAAATATATCCTCTATCAATCGCCGAGTCCTGTAAGGCTATGAAACTTGTAAATGACCAAGTTGCGGAATTATTTTGGTGCTCATGGTCAAGTTTCCCCAGGGAAGTATCACAAAGAAGAGGAGTTGTTACCAGACCGAAGGGTTTGCGTTTCGATCCTGGTATTTCAGTTTGTCTTACTGATTTATCATCAGCAATAGTATTGCCTTTAACACAGCGAATTAGAAGTGACTTTGCAATGACCGATTGATATCACGTGGAAATGCTTGTTAGAGATGAAAGAGAATATGTGAGTGGCTTATAATCAGTGAGAGAAAAAAATCCAATAAGTATCGAAAATGTTGTTTGACAATGTAAAATATTCAAACAGAATGCAAGCAGTTTTTTGCTGAAAATTCTGTATTCCTTTTCATTGCCTTTTCCCAGCAAAAGCTGTACTAGAAATGTATTTTCTGAAAAAGAAAAAGTTTATATAAGTACATTGCAATATCGAGCTTTTTGGTGAAGATATTGGAAGCCATTCAACGCTCCAACAGCAGAATCGAAATTACTGCTAATTACCACATCTCTTACCAATGAGGCCGGTGCATTTATCGACAGGATCAAATAGCATTTTTAAAAAAGTACTGAACTTGAAGTATTCTTAATGTCATCTATCATCTATCAACAGATATTTTACCTTCGCCAGCCAAGAGATATGTTAGCGATTTAGCTATCTCGGTTAAACGTGGAATAAATCGAACTGAGAATTTCACCAAGCCAAGGAATTCTTTTAACTTTGATAATTAGCTGCAGAAAATCTTTGATGGAAAATCATTTGGCCGTGCCGTATTCCTGAGTTTAATTTAATATTCAGTTTAATAATTTTATATTTTTTAATAATTATATAATAATTTTAATAAATATAAATTTATATTTCGACTTAGCAACCGAAATAAGAGATGCAGTCTTTTAAGTTCTCTAGAATTCAGTTTTCTATCAACAGGTCTTGATATACTCGCGATAACTTGGAATAATGCTGTTGATGAAGCACTGAAAAGTTTGTGGGGTTTCGCATGTCAAAGAGCAAGACAAACTTGAATAGTCCAAATAACGTGGTAATGGCTTAGATATGTCAGCAGATTCAATAGGAAGCTGGTGAAAGCTAAGCCAATCAATGCGAACCAAGCCAATCTTTAAAAAAATGCTTTATCCATATTCCATGTATATTGTCGCTAAAGTCTTGAATATGGAATTAAGTAGATGCGATTCAGTGATGCGATTCAGTGCACGATAGTCAGCACGAGGGTGCTATTCTCCAGATGACTTTGGTACCGTATGGGTCAGGACTGATTATTAAATTGTAGTTGGATTATAGGACATGTGTTGCAATTCTTGTTTGCTGATCCATCAACAGCAAGTTTTTGCAATTTAATATAATGATATAGGTGCTCCAGTTTCGATCATTATGAAACTTTTAACCGAATTGTCTTTAAAGTGAGATTTAAGAAATGGATGAAAATCGCTGATAATGTTGGCGAACTCGTTCTTCCATCTTGCAAAGGTGCGTGCGTGACGAAGAAATATCCTCATTTTGAAGAGCAAATCTTGATATTGACCGTTCCCAACTAAATTTTCTTGCTTTTACACTGAAATGGTGCAAGAAGTTGTTGTTTTGTCGTTCGCAACAGTAAAAATGCAACGTCCGTGGAGGGACAAAATCCATTATGTATGGACGTTCTCCAAACGTGTTGATCGATTGCTTGAATTTGCGGGTTCTTACGATCTTTGTCAGACACTGATGTTCATTTCGGTACTAGTGTCCACCACAAAGTTTCTATCGGTGATGAAAAAGAGACGATATGAAGATCGAGGACTACCTTTATTTAAGCGCTGGCCCTGTCCTTTTACTTATAAAGTAGAGGATATTTTTGTCTCCAAATCGCTATAAACCAACGTAAAAAGTCTTCTCTGGAATGTGAACATGAACGAGATCGTTGTTTTTTTGAAGTGAGAATCTGGGAGTTCAAGTCGTTTAAATCTCCGTTCCAGGCCATCAGTTCCACGGAGAAGTATTTACAGCAGATACCGATGCTCCATTTGTTTCCCGAATTTTGTTTGCGAGTCGAGCAATCGTCTCATCATCGAATATCGATCGCTCTTCATTTATTTACTATTTTGATGTTTGATGTATAAAATATAAATAAGGAAACATAAATCGATAAAGCCGATTGATTTTGACGAATATTTTAAAAGTGAATGCAAAATCTTTGTAAAATATTCATTATTTTTCAAGAAGGGTGGTGAGAAAGTGATAAATGATCATTTTGCATGAAAACTGCATCCAAGAGATGTTGCTCGAATAGTTTTCCGCAATATAAGCTAAATGGATTGCGATTAAAAATGGCCACGTTGCTATGGATTTAAGTCTGACCTTTAAGAAATATTTGGTGGTACTGAGGAAATTCTTCTTCAAAACGGTCCATTTTAGGCAGTTAATAGTGGAGAATAGAATGGCACAGCGTGTTGCTCAATTCGGAGCACCGATGCTGAAGATCTATTCCCGGTAAGTAAATCTGTCCAAAAATCCGAGTAATACTGGCGATTCACCTGCACTTCTATTACCGAACGACTTCCTGGTTGGCATATTTGTTTGTGTGACAAGCGGAGCGAGTCTAATAATTACAAATCTGAGCAGAGATACTCCTTACTGTATCGTTGTAATGTTCGAATAACACAGGACAAAATGGCGGAACGATTGTCATGCTGAGTTCGCTCTGATTGAATGGAAGCGGGAATCCAGTGGGAGCTGGATTTCGCATGGTCTATGCGCATTTCAAAGGAAAATTCTGCAATATTTCGGTCATCAGTGCATATGCTACAATTTTAAGTGAACTTTAGACGATCTCGATAAAGATAAGTTCCATGCGGAACTTCTAACTTCTAGCAACCTACCTCTCTACCGAAAAATAACATGGTCATAATCAAAGGAGACTGGAATGCACGTGTAGGTCGGAGACTGAAATGCACGCGTAGGTCACCGCAACGATAAACTCGGTAATTGGCAAATATGGCATCGGGACCTAATGCGCCAATGGAGAACTTCTCCGCTTTGCCGAACAGCATGAGCTCCTTGTTAATATGTGCTTCTGGCATCATTGACATCTATCATCTCCGGACAACCAACATTCCAACCAGATATATTTCAGACAGTCGTCGTTGAAACAGTTCTGTACTTCTATAAATAATCGTTTCGATCGGAGCCCTGAAACTGGTGATCTTCATGGATCATGTTCCAGCAAAGATTCGTATAAAACCGACAACTTGCAAGAAGCTACGTCTCCCAAGATGTTTCAACTATCTCAAATTAAAAAATTAGGGAATAGTAAGTGCATTTCAAACCGAACTATTGAAACATTTCATTAAAATGAACATCAGTGACATCACTGGAACGACAGGTGAATACTGGTCCTAACTAAAGGAAAATCTCCAAAAATCAGCCATTTCCAGTCTATGATATGCTAGCAGAAATATGCGCCAGTTTAAGCTCAAAAAATTAAAATAATTAAAGTAGCTGGAAAGCTGAAATTCCGAAAAATTTTCTTTTTAGCTACTGGAGTTGGCTACAGCCATTCGCTATTGGTTCACCATATACGCAATTTTACTGACTGTAACAGAAACATTAGTGCCTTTAAAACAATAAAGGTTATGCCAATGGTCATGATTATATAATTTTTTAAATTATCATCACCTATTAGTTTTAGAGTGAGAAGAGATATATATCAATTTTTCATCCTTTAAAGCATTCTTGCTCTTTTATTCTCTAGAAAAATGGCTAAAATGCGTCTTTCTATTACTATTATGCACTATTATGCACAACCACATGTCTATTCACCAATTTCTCCAAGTTTGATTGCAAAAGCATGGTTGCCTATATCTCCAAATCGTCGAGCTCACTAAGCATGGAAGACAGCCAACATCGTTTTCAAGATATATTGTGAAGTGACAAAAAAGTATAACAAAAAATTGACATTCGATTGACAGTAGAAATATTTGATAAATCATGCTCCTCTATTTAAACGGGAATTTTTCTGTGTTTCTCAGTTGAAGTCGAATTTCAGATCCAATGAAATTATATATCCAGTCAATTGTCAGGTTCAAATAAACTTTCTCATCTGAATGAACTCATTAAAAGAAAGGGCTTTTTTTTGCTTTTATTTTGTTCGAATTTTTCATTCCGCATTCTAATTTTCGATATTAATTTATATTTTTATAATTTTATAATTTTATAATAATTTTTATAAATGATAAAATTTCATGATTTTCAATGTTCTCTTCTTCTTTCATCTATAATTTTTTTTTGCTCAATTTTCTCCAGGTTTTTGTGAATGGAAATTCGAAAGAAAATAAAATACAATAAAAGCACATGCATTTTATAATATAAGAATTTAGAGAATTAATATTGGAAATTTAACAATCGTTTTAGAATAACTATTATTATTAAAATATGGCAAATCCTGATCAACTTTGCAATATCAACTTTGAACGTAAAATATAATAATAACCACAGAAAATCCTTGATAATTTACTTTTTAAACAATCAAAATTAAAAGCAACAAGAAAAATTTAAGTAAACATTAAAATTTAAAATAAGAATATATATAAGTTTTTCTGGATGATTTTAGAAGCAAATAGAAAGCATTTTCACAAGAAATATATATAAATGTCCGCAGCCATTGATAGTTGATAGAAATTAAGTTTTTTTAGACCAGTGGAACAAAATTCATTATAAAGACCAACCAATGATTCTTCTTTTCTTGCTGTTTTTATACTATTTTTTAAAAAAAGATGAAAGAGATAGATTGCAGTGAATTATGAATTCAAGCAACATTCAATTCGCCGAAATTTAGATTTTAGGGATAGAAAGCTGCTTGAGTATCCTCGAAAATAGGCCAATAATCAGTTATATCTTAGCTCTGCAAATTGATCAATTATGAAAAAAAGGCTTTCTGTTGTCCACTCTTTTTATTTGTTTTCTACATTGTTAAATGGGGAAATAATAATATTTATTACAAACTTTACACAATTGAAGCTAATTTAAAAATTTAAAAAATTTAAAATTTAAAAAATTAAAACAACTGAAGCTAACGATATAATAATTTCATAATAAATATTACAATAACTACTATTTTAAAAATAAATAAATGTCGTCCGAAATAATGAGGCGCGAAAAAGTTTATATTGTTAAAAAATATCAAATAGATCGGAATACAGTATAAAGATGACAAGACAAAATTCATTTTTTCTTAAAAATTCATTGATTATTAACAAGATAATAATTAATTGATTATTACTCTCTCAGACTTTTGAACTGCAATTGAATTCTTTTGCAAATTCCAGAATACCATCAAGCAAGCTTTTTTCCTAGCAAAAACTGCTCTAACCTTGGTATAGCTATAATATCTATCCATGCCAATTTCCGTCTAACGTACTCCAATTGTATTGACATGGTTTTTCCCCAATTAGTTAGGATTTTCAATAGAAATTTCAATTCACGATTGGAACGAACAGAATGAATAAGAACTTTGGCTACTTCCGAAGCATCCAAAGATTCAACCGAAAACAATAGTTTCTTCTCCAACAACGATAATTTTCCAAGTTCATCCCACAGTAATTCGCGAAATTTTTCATTATAATGCAAAGCATATTCATTCTGTAAAATCTGTGTGTTTATTTTGACTTATAACTTTTTCTAGAAAACGCAACACAATAGTTTGCGACATGAAATTCAGCTTTGCTATTTGAAAAATTAAGCTATAATTTTTAAAAAAACTATAGTGCAATACGGAATTACCTGCAGGACAGAAATATATATGACAGCATTTTTTGTTGAAACGATTCGATTGACTGCCTTTTTAAGCACATCAATATTTTGAACGCAAGTGGCTAGCTGAAGTTCATCCGACCATTTGGAACTAACTGTTTTCAAGCCATTAAGTACCAAGCCCAATTCGTGCTGCCCACTGGAAACGAACAAGTGATGACAAACAGCAGTCAGTTGCTGATAATGATCTATATCTGATAAGCCACCGTACAGTAGCCATTTCGATACCTTAAATCGATACTTTATTTTATTAATTTTATAAATAATTAATTATAATTATAATTTACTGGAACTCTTCCCATAGAAAATCCGTAAATATCCTGGATTTAATCATATTTATTTTGAATACTTGTAAATAAAAATTATAGCAAATGCAGATAAAAAAACCTTGTCGACTTTTTCACATGTTGATAATCCTGCTGCACAACGAAGTTTATAAAGTTGTACAAGTCTATTCGCATCTAACAACCAAGCAGCAGCTAGTTCTGGATTTTTTTTTGAATCATCCAGGATTTTGTCAACTTGTTCCACAATCTTATTAAAGAGCCATTAATTATCAACATTAAAAATTTACATTGAAAATTTATTGTAAATATAAAAATTTCTAAAAAAATTCACCTCATGGATGTACACCAGCAATAAATCATTGATTTTTGTACCTCGGAAAGTGTCAACAAGGCGATATAATGCGTCTACACCAATTAACAATACTCCTACATCAGTTTCTTTGACCATATATCTAAAATCCCGCCATGTGAAATGTAGAAAAAAATTCTATCCTATTATCCGGAAGATTGTTTGAAAAAAAATGGAAAAAGTAAATCTTTACAATTAATAGCAGCAAAAAATAATAAAAGAAAACAATTAGGTTAAAAAATTTTTTTTTAAAAAGTTTTTATTGAAAATTCTTGGATAGATGGTGCAAGTTTTTTAAAGGCAATTTGTAGGAATTTGTATCAAAACTGCTATTTTTGCTTTTTGATTTAAAGTCTCAGTTCATCTTATGCACAGATGCTTTCTAAATAAAGAACACTGAATAAGCTACATATTATAGAAAATTTGTGAAAATCTTCTAAAATATGTAATTCATAAAAATAAGTATGCTAATATTCATAAAAATCACCTCAAAATATGCAAATAAATCTCAGGTACTCCCGAATATAATAAATAAAATTCAGCGTCGACAATCAACTGCATGCGAGATTTGGTTGGAACTGCTGTTGGATCATTGTGGAGCTAAGCACGGTGAATATCAAATTTAAAATAGAATCGGCTGAATTAATGGCAACTATCTTGTAAAATTTACGATAATGATATTGCAGTATCAAAATAAATAAAAATAGAATAAAAACAAATAAATAAAAATAAAATGAAAATATGAAGTCAGATCGGGAGGCTCGAAAGCCAATCAACCTTCTAGCCTGGGCAGCCAGCATAGTCTATTGTGATAACATAATGGTTAGGAATAATAATGACAACGAGAGCAACGTATAATATTTCTTCGAAGACTATTTTGCGATGAAATTTTATTTTATTTTGTCTAATTTCTTTGAAAAAATAATTTAAAATTAATTAATTTAATTTAAAAGCAAAAGCCTATTTTCATTCATTTTGAAATAAGTTAAACTGTTACGAAGAAAAAATTTTTTCCTATTATTTCCAGTAATATTCTGAATAGCTTTTTAAATGCACACGAAGCCAACATATTTGTCAGAAATTATAGGTTTAAGTTGAATTATATTTTTTATATTTGAAATCTATTTCAAATCCAATATTCAAATGACAAATATTAAAGAAAAACCATTTCAGCTAGCATCTTCCAATTTATTATGTCGTAATTTACTCGATATGGATATATCCATCCTGGGTTTGCTAAAAGTGGCGCCGTTCTTGATAATTCGTTAAGGCTTAATGCAGTTGATTCATTATGAATCCATATTTTTTTAATTTTATCATCTACAATATAGAAATTACAACATCAAATAATGATAAAACAGCTACAAAAGCTATAAAACACCTACAGCTACAACTAACCCCGACAATTATTTCGAAAAAGCTGCTTCAGAGTGTTAATACCATAAAACCATGACGATAACATTCGAAAAATATCTCTTATTCTGATTAGCATCAGAAGGTTTCAACTCTTTTGAAACAAACTGCTATGATATATATCGATATTTATATATCATTAACAGTCTATAGCAAGGTTATATTGGATTACAATTTTAAAAAAATGAATTCCTTACTCGTATAATTACTGCCGTCGTAAACTTTGCAACTAAATGGAATCAACCACAATTGTCGGTTAAAATTTTTTGTACGCCTAAGTTTCTTATGGTATTCAGTTGCCTCGAATGTCGACGAAATATTCGTTGGTGCCTGAAATCTATGAAGTCCATATTTTTTGAAAAATGTGGAAAGTTCTTTGATTCATTGGAAAAGAGTGTAGATAAGTATTTAATTGTTCAACTAATGGCTGAAAAATAATTGAATTCATTTTTCTCAATCGATTCGCAAATTAATTTGTTTGCTAAGGGTCGAGAAATTGGCAAATGAAAAATACATTGAAAGACTTTTGAAAATGATTCAACGAAGGAACGGTGAATACGAAGGGCTCTCTTCTTCGTTGGCGCCAGCTTTTTCTTCCTTCTTCACCTGAATTGTTTTATTTAAAAATATCTGGTCTTGAATTTAATTTGATCCAATGAATAAAACAGCAAAAAAGAGAAAGAAACAAGGTGCAACATCAACACCAGAGATTTGCTTTATTAGCATAAACTTATTCAATTAGAGAATTAGCTTACAGTTAGCGATATTATCGCATAAAAAATATTTTAATTTCAGACGCTGTTCGGATATCTTATCGGAGAAATATTTTATTTTAAAAGTAAAATGAAAATATTTTGCTCACTTTTTACGAAACGCTTTAATCTAGGTTCATTTCTCTTTCGATATAATTTATAATTTGGATCGAGATCGTTCAAAAATAGGAAATATAAATTCTGGTCAGACGTTCTTTGAGTAATTTGTAGAATACCATTCTCATAATCACGACTGAAAAAATAATGCTTCGATGCAATTCTGTGGAGAAAACTAAAATGGATGAATGGATCATATATTATATATTATATATGGAGTGGTACCTAGCAATAACTTCAGGAATACCCTCGTTTATGAGCCATGGCTCAATAATTTGCTGCAGAATTTCATTTTGAGTGCCATGAAAAGCATAAGTTGTTAATGATTCCCAAAGTTCTTTCCTACTAACGCATTTGTAAGCATTATTTGTTAAATACCTAAAAAATTTATTTTCAGAAAAAATCATAAATCATGCTCGTGGAATGTAAATAGCATCTAAATAATCATTAAGATAGACAAAAAGTACTATAACTCATTTCCAGACAAATAAAATACACTGTACCTTCTTACACCCTTTAGAAAATTTGTACTCGAGACCAATTCTTTGATCATATTGACGATAGCATTGCCTTTAGTATAAAGGTGAAAACGATCGAAAGCTCGTTCAATATCCGATTCTGTCTTCATTTCACGGATAAGTGCAAATTTTTCATTAGTTGACTGAAATTATGCATGAATCTCAAATTTTTTTGAATTGGAGTTTCTTCTACTTCTCAGAGCTCGCACTATTTATTACTGGTAAGGCTGGCTGCGAGAACCTACAAGCCACTTGATTCGATGTCATGCCTGAGATTAAAAGAAGCCATTCCTTCTTTCACCTTCTAAGCCCTTGCTGGCCGTTTATAGGTTCAAAATCTTTTCTAACTGTATCAGTCCAGGTCTTGCTTGATCCTCCTCGCTTTTGATGTCATTCATAATAGACAAGCAGCGAAACATGCTTTCTATAATGGAAGGCGAAGAGCATGACTTAATCAATTTGGACGCTCTCTGACAATATTTTGAATGCAGATAATATTTAAGTAAAGGTGGATGCAGTAATTTGAGATGTTAGATTTTATTCATTTGGTTAACGTAAAATGTGCCTTACCTTACGCATGAATACTTAAAAAAAATTGTTTTGATAGTTTCCATTCTCACTGGCCAAATTTAGAAACTATATGACAGGATGCTATGCATTATAGCCAGACAGATGCCAACTTTCATTTTATGGCTTTCTTGGCGATTCCATAAGGTTTCTTCTAACGAAGAACGCACTGTGTTTATTTTATCCGGGCAATTTTATCTTTCGCTGGTCCATTTGGTGCAAAAATGGATCAAAGATATTTAAAGAATATTTAAAGAATATTTATGTAATTTCCTAAAAAATGGAAACCCACGATAAATCACGATAAATAAAATATGCATTTTATTAACTTCAGATATATATCGAATTTTTGCTATAATTGTCGATAGATACACTATCTCGCCATCTCTTCATTCATCCCTGTCACCACAAAAGTCATCAGCATATTTCATCAGCGTATTGAAAATCTGTGATGCTCTGGATTGAACTTCTTATACTTCTTGAGTATCAGCAAGCGATTTCCTTAAATATTATAGAGGAAAGAGTGCAAGCTTGAGGGACATCATTTTCTGTTTCGGAAGGATCTATCAGTTCTGCATAGAGATAGACTTGCGCCGATGTTTGCTGGTAAAATACCTTTATGAATAGAATGGCCTTCTCTGGAGCATCATTGCATTCTCCATCACCTTCCTGAGCATTGCTAAACAAAGTCGCCACGACAAAATCACTGAGACGAGGTGATGGGTTATCGATATTCCAACATCCCTTTTAGCGTGAACATCTTGTTAAGGCACTCTTGTCCCTTTCTGAATCCACTTTGATTAGCACGTATACCACTATTCAGGAGAAGGGAGATGAAGATCCTCCCTAATAGGCTAATTCCTCGATAGTTTTCACAATATGCTCTATCACCTTCCTTGAGGATCAGAAACAGAATTGTTTTTGCTTTACTTTAGTCTATTAGTTTTTTTTTCAATATTAACAATATTTCTCAATCAATTTGACAAATCGAATAACAATATTTGAGAAGTTCAGGCGTTATTACGCATTACGCTATTTCATCTTGAATTATCTGAAAATACCATAATGATACAGCAATCATCCCTGCTCTTGGCCAGATATAATAATTGCTCAAGATCTGAGATGGGAAAGAATTTCCAACAACCAGGCGATGTCCATACTATAATTTGGCAAAATGTGACTTGTCATTTGACTCCATGAGCATTCTAAACGTTCCAGCCTACTAAAAGGAGGATCTTGCCGTATTTGCACCTACAAATAGTTGTTCATTAAGTTATTAACAGATAAATCCATTAACAGATCTCCAGCAGCTATCTTGGTTCGGGAGGTCTGTTTTATTCCAAACCTTTAGGAATCAGATCTGATTTGCACAATTATTACATATTACCAGGATATAAAAACCACGCCGGAGAGCGTGATATTAATACAGCAGAGTTACTTGGAGATATAAATAAAAAGAGATCGTCAGCAACTAGCTGGATTTTATTTTCTGACAGATTCTTCCCATCAAAGATGAGGCAAATAAATTGGAAATTCAGTAAAAGAATGATGAGGTGATATGCTACTGTTACTAATATTATTACGACTATTAATAAAGTTGGAAGCAAAAATAAAGAGGAGTGAATAAAACGGCCTTTTATTTGATAATAGAGTTAAATTCAGAAATATTATGCTGAAACGACCGCTCACTGGAAAGAATTCTAAATTTAGAGTTTATCGGTGGTTATAACAATTAATCGGGGAGATGTAATTTTAAAAAATTAGAATTCTAATTAGAATTAAAAATTAGAAAAAATTATTAACCTAATAATTAATACCTGTTTAGTTAGAAACTGTGTCAATTGTAAATAATAATCGTTAACAGTTAATTGCGGATGGTCATTCACAAGAAAATGGTCGACAAAGAACGTGGCAAATGCTTCATTAAGCCAAATTTCTGACCAATTATTCATCGTTACAAGATTTCCAAACCTTTACTCAATTTTTACACTTTTAAAATATTTCGCGAAAAATGTAATATGAATCAAATTAAATCATGGAAATTTGGAAATTAGCCATAAAAGAAATTATCGAAATGCTAATGATTTATATAACTTACTCTTTTCAGTTTTTGGCAATAATTATATAATTTGCGATTTTAGAATGAAGGAAAATTCATTTATAATTTAAATTTAATTTCGCCATTGGTATCAACGTTAAGATTTCCGATTAGATTTGTTCCACTTGTTATTAGTACGGTGAGAAAATTTGCCCAGAGAGACAATTGGCCATAGATGGTCAACCGCGCTACCCATAATACGGCCATTAAAATGATTAATTCAGATTCTTATATCTCGTTTTTTTGTAATGCTTTAAAATTCATATCTGATTTCATTTTCAACTATCAGGACGACCAATAGTTGATCAGGCTTTTAATGAGTGAACGACTAAATGGTGGGATCAACCAAAGTTGCCTCTGATCGATACTAAATATTTTCTCTGGCTGTATTGTTAAATATTTTAATATGTTCGCCATTATTACCATTGATGAATCATTTCATGTGTTATGACTTTTTTGATGTTGTATTGTGCAGCCAAAACGTCAACTGTCATATTGGCGTAATCTAAAATTTTAAAAATTTCTAACTTACAAAGTTATAAAATTATAGACTGAAGAAAAACAATTAAAAGACCAGTTGATTTAATAAGGCTTCCTATTTTAAGAAATTTGCACAAGTCTTAAATTTTGAAGTTTAAATTTTTATAATTTTATATTTTATATTGTACAGAGACTTATTATGCATATCAAAACAACGTTCATTACCTTCAAAGAATGAGTCGAGGAGAATCATTTTGTTATGAAAAATAATCAGACCCCAGTTTTCCATTCCACCGACTGGAAATGATCGAGCAGCTACGAAGTCCATTTTCGACAACGGGTAGGATATCTAATTATCGCATATCACATTTTATCACATTATATCACATTTATATCACATTTTATTATAAAATACGATTTTTGCTTAATTTTAACCAAGAAAAAGGTAAGAAATTTCTTTGAAAACAAAGTTTTGACAGAATAATCTCATTTTTACTTGAAACTTTTCTTGAATGCGACTGAATATTTTTGGTGCAAATTCAGCTGCAAATTTAGCATATGAAATATCCTCTGGCAGTGTCCATATCGATAGCGGAAATCCTTTTATTTGCATTTCAATTGATGTTAATGGACCTGCATTTTCGAATTGAAAATTATAATTTTTTAGTTTGTTAATTCGCAATTTTAGTTGGTCAGTAATTTCGCATATCATATTATCTAGAAATCCAAAAAAAATTGAAAATCTCAAATTATACCGACTGCAAAGGCCAAAAGATAGGTTGACATTGGTGGCGTTTTAAGGAATTTCGTCATTATAGCTGTTAAATGACTGTGAACTGCTTGTTGATATGGCGCAGTATTAGTTAAAACTGTTATGCTATTTTGATGAATTATTGAAATATTAAAAGAAGCCTGAAAAATTAATTTGATAAAACATTTGATAAAAGAAAAAAGTTTACAAAAAAATATCTTCGCTGCAGAACCTTAAATTGGAATTAAAAAGTGAATAAGGATTATTACACAAAATAAAAAAAGTTGAAAATAAGAATTACTTTAAATGAAGGTTCATCCCAACAAGGAAAGAAAGTTCGCGCTAAAGTCGGCTCAAATCTTGTCATGAAGCTTATAAGTTGTCCTTGTGCAGTATCATTCTTAAGTTATCAACCTTTAGTAGATATAGAGAAAATGCAAAAATTCTTTTGTCGAATGCAATTTTTATTAGTTTTCCTGAATTTTTTACTTATTAATACTAACTGTTTTTGATGATGCTCTGTAGCAATACACACCACTATCTTCTCCACAAAGAGCCGTAATAAATTGCATCGAAAGCGCATACCTAAAATTATCTTGTTAATAAGCCAAAATTCGATCATATAATTTGAAGTGGAATGAAATGTACCATGGACCTGAATCCAGAATTCAGGAATATGCTTTAGAAATCCACAGTTTCTTTTTTTTATATTGGATGAGAAATTATAATTTATTTTAAATAAAATGGACCAGAAATCTAAATACTTTGTTCTTTTTAAAAAAAATACCATCCATTTCTTAGATTATCCTGCAGTGTAATTTGAACCATTTTTCTCATTGCATTTCTTTGCACTCGTTGAATTTTCGTTATTCCACCTATTAACAGAATAATTAATAAAACCGATTTCAAATTCATATGCAATGAATTATTCCAGGTTCCATTTTTGTCATAAATTGCCCAAGAAATCTGCCAAAGTTCACCAAATAAGCAAAGTAAAAAAAAGTAAAAGCAAAAGTAAAAGTAAAAGCAACATTAAAAAATTAAATTAAAATGAGGGATCAGTGGTCACGTATTAACAGTTAGATGGATGATAATCATAAATTAATGGAAAAATAATTCAAGAAAACCTCGATGGTAAAGTTTGATCCGCTCTATATATATACTTGGACTAGCATGGAAAAAAATATCTTTCGAAGATAAATTAGTATATGATTCGAGTAAAACCGTAACGGTACCAGTTATTCTTTCTTCTTGTGGAAATTTCGAGAAATCCAGCTGAAAAATGTCTTCATTATTATAACAGGACTATGGAGAAATCATTTTCATGAAAGAATTGGAAAATAACCTGAAGATTATAGTGGACAGGAATAACATTTCTAGGTAATGGTATCAAAAGAGTATCTGAAATCCTTTTTAGACGAGCTTTTCCAGTGAAATGAAAAGTTTCTTGAATTCTACCCGTATAACTTGGTGGATAAACGTCAAATAACGTCAAATTTTCGGATCCTCCATTCTGCTTTGTGGTGCTCTCCTTAAATTCAATTTGGATCATACTTTTGTATGATTAAATATGGCTTCTATAGATGTGTAACCTTATTTTCGGATTTAAACAATCACATTGCAGGATTTTCTATACTTCAAATTTTTTTCATGTAGATATTTTGTATTTGCTGATAGAACTACAAGAAACTTTAATGATGACTTCTGAATATTTTTTGTTCGAAATTCGTTGGCACTTTATTAGAGAAATATGGATAAATGAGAAATATTCTCGAATGCGTAAAAGTAATAGAATCAAGGGATAAATAAAGGATAAGTAAATATGCACGATCTATGGACAAACATAAATTAGCTACTTAATTTAACCTCTTCGAGACTACCATTTGTTTCCACTATATTTTTTATGATCAAACTTGATGCGACAGAATATTTTGATTCATTAATCCCTTTCTGAAAAAATAAAAATAAAAAATTCTATTGAAAGAAGTGGGAATTAATAAAATTAATAAAATTAAAATTAAAAATGAAATTAACAAGGCTTTTGTTATCGCTCAAATAATGAGGAACCAAGAAAAAAATGCGACTGTGTGAAAAAATATCAAAATGGAAGGATTTCACAAAAACAAGACAATTAAAACTGCAATTATAAGGCAGAAAAGGACAAAAATGAAAAATAAACAAATATGCACCATCACTACGACCTATTGTGCAGTAAGAAATCAGTTGCTATTAGGCACCAAGTAAATGCCCGCTTAATATTTTATACAATTTACTGCATGGAGGATGCGATTGAAAGTCTTAAATTCAAATGCTGGAACTGATTTATCTACTTATTTTTTCTTTTTACTCGAGAATTCAGGACAAAATAACAAAGTAGCACTGAACTTAAGCTAAAGCTACTCATTTTGAATGAATGCACTAGTACTTTTTATAAGTAACTAGGAAATAGACATTAAACTAACTTTTGGCTGATTTTGACTGACTTTTTGGAATTGATTGTTAGCAAACCAACGTCCAATAAAAAATGCCAAAATGATAGCAAATACAAATATAAGGAGAATTAAAAGCAATAAAACACATCGACCCGTACAATCAGATGGTTTTTCACTTTCAAATGAATAGCGCGATGGAAAGCTGTCCACGTAATCTGAAGTTTCAGATTCTTGTAGTATAAAGAAAATAATATGGATGAACTGTAATTTTTTATTTTTTTGCATATTTTTATAGTAAGCAATAGGCAACTATAAATATGAAAATTTTTCATTTTGAAAGTTCTTCTTACACACATGTCCTGTTGGAAACAGGATGATTGGAGACGTAAATCTCTCACTATAAAATCTGGGCTCTCACTATAATTTATATCTGTTTGAGCTATAGCCAAAGAAATTCTCATCGTAACAGCCAGCAACAACCAACGGAGGGAACCATGAATGCCAGTCACATTTCTCATTAAAAAACAAATCTCGCATTTCTAAGCCATATGTCACATTCTAAACATCTTCCCCACTTTTTCATTTCTGAGATGAATTCCTTAGAATGGCGAGATTTCTAAATGATGCTAATAAATGCAATTCTTTCCAAATTACTTTTGATAATAATGATAACGATCATGATAACGAAATTTATTCTGTGGTTAATGATACAATATATTCTCAGTAATTGGCGCTCATGGTTAGACTCATTCCATTGGCTGTTAGCACAAGGATACTTTGGCAAGGAGTCATCAGTAATACTCAGTTAAATTGATTAAGTGTTACGAAACTGGCTGGATAAATTTCCTAAAAAAGGGATTAAGTACCACTGAATTTTCTTCGAAATTTAAATTTACCTTGTGTTGTTTCATGCGACTGATCATCGTGAGTAATACAAGGTTCAGTCTCATCAAGCAAAACATCCTTTAATGAAATCTGATCGTGGCAAATCTAAAATTTCTAAAACAATTTCAAATTTATTTTGTTTCAGTCGAAGCATTTTACATTGAACAAATGAAATTGATTTCCTTAAATGTTATGCATGCATATAAAATGATTTCGCTTTTCGCTATAAATAATAGACCATCTAAGTGAATTATAAAAAAAAGCATTTAAAAAGCATTTGTTATGAGTTATTATCTACATTTAGGGTCAGCGAAATGTGCGGAAAACCATGTAATACCTGATTGATCTTGCAACGAGAGCTGTGTGAATTAGCCATTTACCGCTTGTGTCAAAAAGCATGTTGAAGCGTCCCAGTTAACAGACCTACACTAGAATAATTAAACATAGAGAATGATAGGACAGAATCAGCTTTTGGAACTGAAAACTAATTATTGACACAGATGCATTACTAATAACATTTTAAAGGTAAAAGAACACAAGTTTAAAGATTCTGTTCCAAAAATTTCGTTATAAAATCGCAATAAATTTCAGAAACAACGCGAATCAAAGCTAAATCGGATGCCTTGGAAAGCTGTCGTTAATTAATTCATTTTCTAAAACTATAGATTGTTAGTGAATAGCAATGCTGGTGACCTATCTGTATTTTTATCATTAACTTATTGTTTAGTGGGTGGATTTTTTCTAACAGCCAATGAAATGAAAATTAATATGAGTGGCGTTGGGTGGGAGAGAAAGAGGACTAATATAACCTTCCTCTTAGAACTAGGTACTAAGAAATACTAAGAAATTGGCCGTAATCCGATCTTGAATACAGCGATAGATTTGATTAAATTGATTTTTGATTAAATTTACATTTAAATTTTTTAATTAAAAACGACAATGAAAGGATTTCTGGAGTGATATTTTTTCAAGGATGATAAAAATGTGACGTAATTTTCTCAAGCAGCTTTAATTGGCAATGTTTATTTTAGCTGGAAAATTCATGAAATTATTAAAATGCACAAGAAAAGAATACGTGGAAATAAAGCATAAAAGTTACTTTTAAGAAAACATTTCGCTCGACTATACAAATTCTATCGACAATCATGAAAATCATATTCCATCCATTTTTTGAAATTTGAATCAGCATTTTCTAAGTATTCTCATGTATTTCTTCAAAAATGTATTGAGAAATGAGAAGAGTCAATATAAAAATAATATTCAATTTAATATTGCAATTATTAGCCCTTTGGCCAAAAAGCTTTTAAAAATTTTTGTTTAGACAGTTGGCCTCTAACAAAGACAGATAAAAATATAATATAAATAAAATAATATGGGAATTTGGCATGGGAATTTATTGTTTTATTGCGCAAATATAATATTCAATATTAATTAATTATATTATTATTATATTATTAGACTGAAAAGTAGAGAATTTTTGAAAGTTCAAGAAATCATTTTCAGTCTTTCTTTCTTTTAAACCATATGAGCAATAAATAAAAGCAAAAATAAGAAAATTTGTTGGTGGGAAAGATTCACATTGCCAAATTGTCAATTGTTCTTTTACCTTATCTTACCTTTCTGATCCTTTATGTGTAGTTTATCATGGTTTCTTAATTAATAAGCATCAAAAAAATAATATTGATTATGAATGAATTCTGTAGATTTAAATATTTAAGCATATGAAGTGTAGCTAGTCAATTAAATTTTCAATATTTCTAAATGTTTATACAAATGTTTATCATGTAATTATTCTTTAGAATGCAATTAGAATTGTACAGTGAGTGCCGTGCCCTATTTATCGATGCATATCTATAAACACCACATTATAATTATTAACTATTGATATTCATTTACAATCTTTTAGACTATCCTATAATATAGATGATTTTCATGAAATGTGAATACAATAAAACAACTGATGATTGAAGAGATAAATGAATGAATTAAAAAGCGCTTGGTTAGAAGTTTCTCACCATTTTTAGGTTAGATTCGCAAGGCGTTAATAAATTAGAAATTTTAGTCAGGGAGTCGCCTGGTTAAAATACTGATGGACCACCACCACCGGTTATTAATCGGTTATTAATTAATTAATAATAACAAGCTTAATGAATATTTTGCCAACAATATTTGGTAATGAAGGAAAAAATTGCTAGAAAATTTAGAATTTAAACTTGATTTTGAAGAATTTTGAAGAATTAAAATAAAATAGGCAATGAAAAAAATATTAAAAGTTTGACTAAAATGTTCGATATAATTTATTCATTTAAAAAGAAAAAAAGTATTAGTTGAAAAATATTTTTTTTTTCTTCTTTTCCGATTTTTCATTTAACTCTGACTATATGAATAATTAGATATTAGATCATTTAGAAAGCATAAAATACAGAGTTTCGTTAATTCAGCTTCACTGACAGAGTTTTAAGGGCAGGATAGCCGAGAGGGGAGATAGTGGATTAGACTGTCGTCTCGAGAGTCAATAGCTCAATTCCTATCTTCGACAAGAATAAGTACTTGGTTACAGATTTTTCGTTAAAAAATCCGAATGGAGTGATCCACCTATCTTTTATTTCTGTCGCAAACTTACTTCTCTGATTCAAGTTACATCTTTCCAACATGCCAATAGCCAGCTTTCTGACCAAAAATAATATGGAAATATTTATTTAATGAAGCTGTGAAAGCGGAATAAGCTATGAGAATAAGCTTTTTATGGAAACTCATTACGATTGTTATGGAAGTTTTTCAGTAATTAGTGTCGTACTAAATATAAATTATGAGTTTTTTCCATTTTCATTTTTATCAATAATGGTTGGTACTCACCATCCATAATTAGGTTTGCTACGCTGGTTGCATTAGGAATTTTAGCCAAGGATCATTTGGTGATAGAAATAGAGAAATAAAGATGGATAGCTAGAACCATTCGAATTTTTTTCTTAACAGTTTTTTTCGAATTTGCTGTGAAAGACGGAAATCTTAAGCTCTCAAATGACATCGAGCACATAAATGTTGTCACAAATTCTACTCGAATAAATGTTTATTGATTATTATCATATCAGGAAAAAAAAATTTTCAAAAAGCAGACATATGAATATCGTGAAATATATGAATATAACAAGACCTAATATTTGACCTATAATACAAATCAAGAATTAGCACATTTTAAATATTGGTTCGCACTTTTCTTTCTTCCTTTTTAACATTCAACATTGTTTCTCTTTATCTTCACAATCTAGAACTATCACTGATGTGTAGGCCATTCTTAATCTTTCTCATTACTCATAAGTCTTTTTTCGCGAAACGACTTGAAAATATTTATTCATCTCAAAATCACACTCACTCTTATAAAAACAATAAGAGTTTCTATAGCATCATCTTAGGCTTCATTATACAAAGATACAGAAATTTCTAAAAATAATTTCAGATGGGTCTACAATATTTCAAGATCGTTTTAACGAATCAAAGGAAAGAGGAATGAAAAAACGTTGTAAGTTGAAAAAGAACTATGTGTGCAATATCAATTTTATTCAACACAACCTCTTATATTCTCATGTTCTCATATTATTCTGGCCGAATGCCTTTTTCCACATCAGTCCATCTTCAACAAACCTTTTTCCCTCTCATAAAATTGAATTACAATTTTCAATAATCTCTGTAAGTCATGAACAAAAAAACAATCGCATATCTTTACTAAAAGATTTGTAATTTTGGGAGATATAGATTATTCAAAAAAACCTAATATTATATGAAAATGGCATTAGCAGCTACGTTAAATTATCGAAAGCTAATAAGATAAATCATCACTTATTTCTTATTAGTGAAAGGAAATCTAATAAAATAATTCTTAAGTCCAATTAATAATCAATCATCAAATATTGGTTAATTAGGTCAATTATATTCCTTCGCGCATTAACAAATGAGTATTTCTAATTCATGGAGCTATTGCTACTAAAAATCCGCATAATGGTGGAAAACCCATCTGCACTTCCTTCTCCAGCAGACTATCTATTAGATTTCTAACCACATTACCAAACAGAAATTGAGAAGACTAACTACTCATTTTAAAAATAAGCAAACTCAAATGAGGGAAGAGAAGAAAATTTCAATATTTATTTATATTTATTTATTAATATTTATAAGCAAGCCTTTTCAAATCTACTGAAAAAAACCTCACTCAGTTTCAGAGAAGCAAGTTTAAAAAAGTTTAAGCAGACATAAAATTACTTATCATTACCAGCATTTATCAGTATGGACGCCGATAGAAGCATTGCTAAAAAGGAAAAATTCACTATTAAGTCATGTATAGTCGAGTTGGAAATAACCGTTATTTAAAAAGGGCCAGTTAATAGTTAATAGTTAATAGTTTT